TGTTTACGTCATTAATTTTCACACTCCAGGAAAAATAATCTGTATGTATTATCTTATAACATAAAATGGCAATATTTGTCATTTACATTACAAAAGGAAAATCACAATTCTAATATTTATGGCTGGTGTTAGTCATTTTCAAAATTTAAACCATCAAACTTCTATTTTGCCCATAAAGCTTATATTTTGTTGAGAATCACATCTGATGGTCAGCACATGTTATGTTACCTAATGCACGTTAAAACAACCCAAACTTGGAGCAGATGCAGAGACTGAGTTTGTGCGGAGCAGCATTTACTGTGAGACTCTGCACACAGCGGTGGATCACGTGTAAATTAACACAGTGCTACGCTTCACTCTGAAACACACAGTGCTTATTTATTTAATTAAATCACAGCCTTTGCAGTTTGATAATTGCACTAAGTCATATCGCAGTTGTGATTTTATTTTGATTAATTGTGCAGTCCTATTACATCATGCAGCTGACTAAAAACAGATTTTCAGCACCTTACCGTGTCCATTCCACTCTCTCATCTCAATGCCACACACAGGCACTTAAATACCCGAGGTGTGGAAAACAGCATCAGGACATCCATCAGCTCACAGACGCAAGTCCAGTGCTTAATGGTCTCTGGCATTTGTGAATGGAGGCAAAGGATCAATTTATCTGCACCGGATGCTGGTAATGAGAGCAGAAGAAACGCTGGATGATTTATTGGCCCTCTATTAAAACCGCGAGCTCAATGAAGCTGTTTTTCAGTCTCTGAGAGTGGGCCTTCTTTCAGCGCTTATCTGTGTGATTGTGACTGTGTGGCCGCTTGAGCCCCAATTCCCTGAACTGGAACTGAGAGGAGTGCGCTTATGATAAACCAAAGCCTGCAGTGCCATGACAGGCCTGAGTCAAACCTGCTCTGAGAGCCCAAGCACAGCCACTGAATGAGCAAACCACTGATCCAAGACTGCAGATGAATGCAGCCGATACTCATCCAACATGAACAGCATCTCTGACATGCTGTTGATTACCACAGAATATCATGGTTTTTTTCTTATCAAACAACATGTGCAATACTGCTCTTACTATGGAGGTTTACAGGGTAACTGTACTGCAAAAGCAGAAACGTATATCACATTTTAGTTGGGATGTTTTGATTTATTAAGCATAATCATCTGCGATATTTGCCACTTTACAGATTGTTACGTCACATCTCTTTCTGTTATCCTTAAGCAGCAACGTCCCCAACCCGCCAAGACTCAGATGTCAAGCCTACAAGACACCCACATTCCCTTCACTGACCGTCTGAGGCATACGGCTCACCAAACTCAACACAAGCATTTTCTCCATCTAGCATCCTCTGTAGGGTGTTTTTATCTGTCTGCCTGGAAACAAAGGTGTGTTTACGAGACACCGCGTTAATGTTGCAAGAGTGTCTGATGATGAAATAATCACTGGATTTACCAAGTTTGTCAGGTTAGTGGCATCAAATCTTTGAAAGATATTATAGTTCGTCCAAATTTGCTGTTCCAATTTTGCTGCTACAAATCTTCTGTACAGAATTTCCAAAAAACACAAGTGAAGAAGAAACCGAAACAACAGATGCTTCCACATGTAATCTAACACGATCATCAGACATAAAACAGCATCAAAACTGTGTAACGTTGATGTAATGTCGACCAATGAAGAGGTAACGCTGACTGTCAAGCTTTGGGGAGTTGATCGACTTTATCTACGTTTTGATTATCATTCTGAATCCAATTCATAGTCTTTTTTCAGCTTTTTGTTCAAAATGTTGTTTATTTGTTTATTTTTTATTTATGAAACTTTTCATCCACATTCAAGTGTTTAAAAAAAGAATGCATGAAGCTAGAATAAAATGTTTTTGTTTACAAGCAGATATAACCCTGTTCTTTCTTTTGATGTTTTTCTATGTTCAGATATTCATAACAAAATATATACAAATTAATACCTAAATAGGGACATAGTAGTATACTTAAAGTATGATGTAAAGTTCACTTAAAGAAAACTTACGAGTATACTTGCAGTATAAAACTACTAAACTAGTAGTTTACTGAGATTATACTTCAAAGTGTACTAAAAATGCTACTACAAGTATTTAATTAGAAAACTATCAGTATTCATATGTTAAATTTTAGTATAGTTGCAGTACAAGCTAAAAATATTGTTGTAAACTAGTTGTGTACTTAAAGTTTACTACTGTTATACTTAAAGTATATATATTTATATACTAGAAAGTGGGCCAATTTAGTCCCAAGGAGTATTGAAAAAGTACACTTACAAGTATTTGTATACTTACTACATAAAGTATACTTAAAAATATACTTGAACTTTACTGAAGTATACTTACTAAAATAAACTTGAAGTATACTACTTTTTGGTAAGGGTATACAGGCAACACTAATCCCTGTGGCTCCTGACGATATATGGAGGTCATATGAAGTGAAACGATCAGTCTGTGCAGGAAACTGAGCATTATTTACACAATTATTACCTGTAATCCAGAGCCTCAGGCAAACGAGCCAGAGTGATGTTCGGATTTACGAACGAATCATTCTTTTAAACCGGTTCTTTTTAGTGAACTACTTGAACCAGTTCACCAAATCAAACTGAATCGTCTGAAACAGTTTGCAGCTCGAGCAGCACAGATCTACAAGTTACTCAATCAAACTCACTTTCAGACGCCTGGCAGTCACTCCGATTCGAGCCACAATACCAGTGTATCTGATCCTGTGATGAATGAATCATTCAGCGCTCCAGTTCCTTCAACAGTCACTGAACTGAAGAAACCGTTCGACTCAGACCGAAGACCGATGTGCCGGTGATATGAGCATGTGTGAACCGAGAGCTTGAATGAAAGGGCAAAATTAAAGTTTTTATGGTTTTTCATTGCTTATCTAAAATGGTGAGCTGAAAAAAAGTTTAACTAATTTGAAGGGTTAGTTCACCCAAAAATGAAAATTAGCCTGTGATTTACTCACCCTCGAGGCATCCTAGGTGTGTATAAGAGTTATCATTGCAGTGGGCAGGTGTTTTTGTTCAACAGTCCAAAAGACATCAAATAAAGTGTGCGCCTCCATAATAAAATGTGCCTCACACGGCTCCGGGGGGTGAATAAAGTCCTCCTGTAGCGTTTTTGTAAGAAAAATATCCATATGTTAAACGTAATAAACACTTCTCTCTCACTTCATCATCAAACTGTGGTAGTGTGATTAGTGCCGAACGCGGAGAGAGGACAAAACAAAACGCCGGTCATGAATTAGAAGTACAAACCGAGGATTTGTAAAGAAAAATGTCAGAGGATTTCGATATAAGCCAAGAGGAGACTGGTTTTCCTTTGCTAAAGTAAGGAAACGTTGCTTCCTTTACTCCTGTAAACAAACTCGCGAGACTAGCATATCTCAGAGGCGCATGTGCTATGAATACATCCTACATCATCCGCCGGAACGGCTTGCACGGTCGACAGATACCGGAAGTTAGAGAAAAGTGTTTATTACGTTTGAAATATGGATATTTGTCTTACAAAATCGCATGGATTCGCTAAAGGAGGAGTGCTTTATTTGACGTGTTTTGAACAAAAACACTCGCCTACCCCCATTCTAACGAGTGGAATAGCCAGGACAATTTTTAATATAACTCCAACTGGATTCGTCTAAAAGAAGAAAGTCATACACTCTTAAAAATAAAGGTGCTTCAAAAGGTTCTTCAAGCGATGCCATAGAAGAACCATTTTTGGTTCCACAAAGAACCATTCAGTCAAAGGTTCTTTAAAGAACCATCTCTTTCTTACCTTTTTATAATCTGAAGAACCTTCTTTCGCCACAAACAACCTTTTGTGAAACAGAAAGGTTCTTCAGATGTTAAAGGTTCTTTATGGAACCATTTAGACAAAAAGGTTCTTCTGTGGCATCGTGAAGCAAGTTATTTTTAAGAGTGTATACACCTTGGATGCCACGATGGTGAGTAAAACGGAGGCTAATTTTCATTTTTGGGTGAACTAACCCTTTAATGACTTTATATGCTTTAGACATGTAAAACATCCACATTTCACATTAGTATTGAGTTTTTTAATAATTTGATTGCGTATGTTACATTATTGCATGATTACATAAAACGAGAGCACTGAATCAGTTCATTGAAACAAACAGTCCGAAAGAATCAGTTCACGGAAAAGAATCAGATTTCCCCATTTGCCTGAGGCTCTGGATTACAGGGAATAATGCTGTAAATAATGTTCAGTTTTCTGCACAGACGGATCGTTTTTACTTCATAAGACCTCAATATATCATCAGGAGCCACGGGGATTCGTTTTGTGTTCGGGCATTATTTTATGCTTTTTTTATTCTCAAAGATGGGCAGCTGCCGACTTGCATTTTATGAATCAACAACGACCACGGTTTCAGCTAAAAATCTTCTTTAATGTTTAACTGAAGAAAAGAATAATCATCCACATCTTACATGGGGAAGTCGTGGCCTAATGGTTAGAGAGTCGGACTCATAACCCAAAAGGTTGTGGGTTCGAGTCTCGTACCGGCAGGGATTGTAGGTGGGCGCTCTCTCCAACCTTCAATACCACGACTGAGGTGCCCTTGAGCAAGGCACCGAACCCCCAACTGCTCCCTGGGTGCCGCAGCATAAATGGCTGCCCACTGCTCCGGGTGTGTGTTCACGGTTTGTGTGTGTTCTGTGCTGTGTGTGTGCACTTTGGATGGGTAAATGCAGAGCACTAATTCTGAGTATGGGTCACCATACTTGGCCACATGTCACTTCACTATACATGGCCTGAGGGTAAAGTAACAGCAAATTTTCATTTTTGGGTTAACTATTCCTTTAATAATTTGGTTTGAAACACCGAGTAACAACGAAAACTATTTCAGATAAGAAAAGAAGAAGAAAAACAAAAACATAACCAAACCAAAGTGACATGAAGAAGAAAATAAGCTGTTTCACAGAGCTGGCAGTGAAACACCATGGTTTATGGTCTTACCCGTCTGGTCCAGTTGATTGGTTTCTGTTGAGCCCAAAGCCTGTGAGATGATCCGGGCTTGTTTGCTGTCCATCAATGGGAGTCTGTCCTGCTCGAGTGTTGCTTCATTATATCCCTCCTGCCTACACACACACAAACACAATGACATTGGACACAAAGTTTATCTATTATGTTCCTCTGGGTGTACATTTCCTTTAAATGGAAAACTTACAAGGATTCACCGTAAATAAGAAGCCATTTCTGCTGAACAGATCAAGGACTAATGATTTCTCTCTTTTTAACTAAATGTAACCAAGACATTTACAGTTTGAACTCGAAAGCTGCAAGGCGAGATGTAAGTAAAGAACCAGAGCTTCCATCTCCACGGAAACTGCATGCAACAATCTACTATTTTAGGCTCAATTTAACACCCATAGTACAGTTGTTAACCCCTGGAAACTTTGTATGTATATATAGCACTCAACATATTTGTTTATGGTAATTACTTCAAGCCGTCACGATTTATTCACTGCAGGCAAAAGGAACTGGGCGAAATGACTTCTGAGACTGAAACAACTCGCACGCACGATGTTAAGTGGGTAATAATATGTTATGGTGCAGAATGACGGTGTAAGTCGCTGCTATAACAAAAAAAATCAGGACATATAAGTAGTGTCAAAAATCATGGAGCAGATCTGGTCAACAACATGCCTGCTGTATAGGACTAGGCCTACATAGGCAGCATCCTTACTATACTGAACATCGGTGATTAGGAGCACACTACATAGGTAACAACTCAAGACTGCTACTTCAAGAGCTCTTGAACCAAACGAACATGCTCTGAGATGAGAAAAAGACTATTTACTTAACATCTGTATGAGAGATTAAACCCAAAATCACCACATGAAGCATTATGGAACTGAATCAAACAGCAGTTTCATATAAATCTGTGCAGTGTAAGTAGGCATTTGACGAAAGCAAATTTTCCCGTTGAGATAATTGCCAAATAAAAGCCAAATAAAACAGTTAGTTTTGCCCTCAATTGTCTCGTCAAACTCCAATATTGAAAAAAGTCACAAAACAAATCACTTGTTTCACTAAAATCATATTTGAGGTCCTGAGCTGGGATGAGAGATATGACCAAAATCTTATTTCACGATATGAGTCATTTTATTGGATGATAATGATACACAGTGCCCTCCACTAATATTGGCACCCTTGGTAAATGTGAGCAAAGGCAGCTGTGAAAGTAAATCTGTTTATCTTTTAGATCTTTCATTCAAAAAATTCACAAAATTCGAACCTTTCTTTGAAGTAAAACGATTGAAAGTGGGGGGAAACGTCTCGGGTTACTTATGTAACCATGGTTCCCTGAGTAGGGAACGAGACACTGCGTCCTCTAGGGGTCGCTATGGGGAACGCCTCGTCGTGACTCGTATCTGAAGCATACATTGAAAAAACACCAACGAACTCACATTATGATGTGCTATAAAAAAAATGTGAGACGCGGTTAGTGGAACAGAGATAAAACATAAGGTTGCATTTTTTAAAAGCTGAACTTATTTAACTTGACTGCTGTGTTTTTAGAACTGCAAGAGACAGAAGCACAATGGCCAGACACGTCCATCTAGTGTGTGTTTACATAGAAATACCATGGAAAAGTAGCGCAATGGAATGGAAAATTCATTTTGAACTGCCCATAATTCTAAATTCTCTACTATTTAGAACAGATAGTATGCAATTTGGGCCGCAGCAAATGATTTCTCTGATTGGCCAAAATCTGTTACGAGTAATAAAGTTAAAATCACACTGACTTGTGGCTTCTATAAGAGCAAATATCATCACTCAGAGTTCATGCTAGCTTCACACAGTCTTATCGGCTTTAGATTTGGCATGTAATGTTGCTGCCTTCTGGAGCAGTCTTCATGTCCGGGGCTCACCTATGGTGCCCAGGCAGCTCTCTGGTTGAGGAACAGAGCTAATTTGTCCTTAAAGAAAGACAGACAAATCTCGAAAAACAGAAGCTTGCATTAACGCTTGGACTGTGTCAGCTGGCAGAAAGAGACAGAAAGAAACCGTTGAGCTCCTGTTGAATTAAATGTCAGCTTACGGATGCTGATTGTACTGAATATTTCTGGCGTATGCATTTAAGAATAAACACGTCTCCAGTAAAGTGTTGGAGGCATCTCTGTCCCAGAACAGAGAGTTCATTCTGCTGTACTGAGCTCTCTTTACATACGGCTTTTATTGGACCTTAGTCAGGGTAGGCACTGTATTTAATGTGACGTGAATGAAAGGGATAGATGTATAGGTTCAATGAGATGTAATATTGTATATATAATGGTGTATTGTTGTTGGCTTCATTTATGAGATAAAGACAAATAAAGCCCACAGAGGCTTTTATTTATTCTGTCTTGTTTTTGATGACTTTTTAGTTTAGTTCAGTTTCTGATAGTTTCGTACAATGTTTGAAGGAGATGATCCCATTTTAAATGCTAATGAGTAAACAAAACACTCCTGTAATGAATAAAGCTGTCTATAATATACAATAAATCTCTTTTGCAATGGAGTTTATTTTTCTGTTAAGAAAGTTTCATTAGTCTAGTTTTGAAATCGCATGACATATGAGAGAGTGAAGACTAAGACATTTTAATCGCATATGATTTAAAAAAAATCTGCCCAAGGGCACCTCAGTCGTGGTATTGAAGGTGGAAGAGAGCGCTGTACATTTACTCCCCCACCTACAATCCCTGCTGGTACGAGACTCGAACTCACAACCTTTGGGTTATGAGTCCGACTCTCTAACCATTAGGCCACGACTTCCCGAGATCAGATGTGTATCATTATATTGGGTCAGTGCGTTAGATCTTAAAGTGACAGCAGCCTAATATACTTGCTGCTGTCTGTCATTAATCTTATTCAAAAAAATAAAAGATAAAAATAAAATCAGTGACTGCTTTTGAATGAATAACTTGTGTAGCTTTTAATAAGATGAGTGTATATTTAATTCATACAGTGCAGATGGTGCAGTGTATATACTGTATATATATATATATATATATATATATATATTTTACATTTGAATATTTAATTTCTGTATTATTTCTTATTTTTCTTAGACAGACCTACATGAAAAATGTAATTTGGATCTTTTTTCTATTGTATGCATTTGTCTATCACTTGTGTTCAGATTCTTAGTTCTCATTTTATGACTGACGTTTGGTTCGTCTTCAGTATGCTTGAGAATGGTTTACTTTTAGCTGTACAATAGTTAGCCTAATATTCGTTTTTGTAACATCCTTATTTAATAAAAACAAAAACCCTGATATCACTTGTTATTGTGAAATAAATATACTTATATTGTGATATCAGATGTGGGTCATACCACACCTACACTAGAGCTTCTATTCTAAAAAAGATCATAAATAAATATGAACGTCTGAACAGAAAAGCTGTTGTTGTGTTGCACTACTGAGTCAAAGCTGTGGATCTGAGAGCTGGAGGCAGGCGGACAGGAAGGGTTGAATTAACCATCTGTTCTTCTCATATACCTCTCATTATTCCTCTGCTGACACTCGCTGCTTTCACTGCCTCTACACTTAATATGCATCTTAAAACACTTCACGTGATTTAGCACAACTGAATTAGTCCATTGTTCTTCAGACGGTCAGTACAATTAATGGCTTATGTGTTTGAGAACTAAATGGTACATTTCCCCACAAATTTCCAATTATTTTCCATATTGTGTATGTGGGAATGACAATGGGTTAGCTGTTGTGTTCTTGCATAAGGTTAATGTTCTTATATGAAAAAATGTGAAGTTAGGACAATTTTAAGATCATTCTGATTTAAAAAAAAAAAAGTTTTTGGACAAAAGCATAATTCTCCCGAACATTTTCAATGCCATAATGCAATAAATCTCATTAATGTAATGTTAAATAAATAAATACAACATACATAAATAACAGTGTTTATACATTATGGTAATATTTTATATAGTGCTTTTACGTCGATTTAAACTGAATAAAATACTGTGTTACAAAAAAAAAAATACTGTAGTGCTGCTATTGTAGTAATACTAAAAATGTTATTGTGATTTTTTTAAAAATAAAAATTGTGACTGCAATTTAAAATGTGATTAAAATGAAGCTGTGCTTATATATAAGGCTGCACAATTTTGTGATTATATGTCAATATGACAATTAAATATGGTGTCGAATTTCATATGACAAAAATTGCTACAATATTTTATAATCAAACATTTTCTTGAGAAGAGGAAAGGTCTAAATCTCAATAAAAAAAAAAATAATAATAATTTGTGATGGGAAAATGCATCCAAAAAAGGGCTCTTTTTGGTATGGTGCCTCAACGAAATCTCACAGGAACCTCAGTTGTGTGCTGTCAACTTCAAATTTGGAACATATGTCAGATATATACTGTATTTGCTTTGACTTAGATTCCAAAATATTTTGTAAAACATTTATTTTATATTAAATAATTCTGGTAACACTTCAGTATAGGGACCAATTCTCACTATTAACTAGTTGTTTATTAGCATGCATATTACTAGCATATTGGCTGTTTATTAGTACTTATAAAGGACATATTCTGCATGACCATATTCTGCATCCCTAATCCTACCCAATACCTAAACTTAACAAACTACCTTACTAAATATTAATAAGCAGCGAATTAGGAGTTTATTGAGGAAAAGGTAGCAGCTAATGGTTTGTTAATAGAGAATTGGACCTTAAAATAAAGGTATATATGTATATATATATATATATTATTATTATTATTATTACAGTACATTTTCATTACAGTAAACATAGGCTTTTTTTTACACTTTCATTTTTTTAATGACATAATCTAATTTTCTTTAAAAGAGACCAAACTGTTTTGTTGTTGTTGGTTCATTATTTATTTAATGAGGGACACTGCACATTAATAATACTTAACAACGTGTAACATGTGTCAGATTTAGCCAAATTGGCAAATTTTCATCCATAGTCCCTTGGCAGGTTGATGCTAAGGAGAAGGAAAAGAGCATACAAAGTATTCTCTAAACACACAAAGAATTAAGAAACTCCAAAATCTCTACAAATGGTCTTAATTTTGATTCAATATTAACCACATTTTCAGC